GCTTAGACCTTGCACCGCATGCCCGGCTGCATTGCCGCCCGAGCATCAGGGTTTGCAGAGAACCGCCGGTGTTTCCCTCGCATGCCTCGGATCAACGTGAATACGTTAGCAGAACTGTGGTGGCATTGCGCGCCAAGAGTGAAACTAGGCCTAGTCTGCGTTTTCTGCACGCGCCGGGAGTGATGGCATCTGTCTAACCGCATGACAGCTTCTTAAGAGCTCCCTAAGAGCTCGAGCTCTGAGGGTGACAAGCTGACCTACGGTGCCTGGGCGCAGCAGTGCACGTCAGGTGCATCGGATTCGGACCCAGTGGCTGGCTTTTCTTCGCACCATTGCGGGCCCTACAAGCAATAGGCTTCCACTTGTTGCCTTCTTCGCACCGCCCTCAGTCGTAGGGAGCGTGTCCGCAGTTTGGAAGACCACCTTCACGGCAGTTCCGCTTGGCATGGTTGAGTGTTGTTGTGTTGGCACTAGTTAGGGTTTAGGGTTGAGCGGCCCCGTTCCCAGGCCCCTCGAACTTCTTAAGCGCTCCAAAATCAAAACCCTTCCCTGGCCATTCCTCCGCCTGCGCGTCGGTGGCAGGTGTCGGACGCAGTTCTTCGCATGTAGCTCTAGTGTTGCAGTTTTGTGTTTTTGTGTTGCGCCGCCCTCAGATGTAGGGAAGTCGGCTGACGTCAGCCTTATGCAGTTTCATCTGCTCCATCACTCTATGAGCATCGCTTTTAAGCATGGCACTTGCATCTTGCAAAGCGCGCAGCGTCGGCGGCTCTGCGATGCGGAGGCGGGACAAGGGAGAAAAACAGTTGAGCTTGCCGAGGGTAACTTCCAGCGCCCGGAGGGATTCGAGTTTAGACGGTTCAGCCCCAAAGCAGACCCGGGAAGCTTCTCTGGCTTCTCCATTTCTGGCGGAAGGGGTCGGAGAGGTTTGCAAGTCACGCGTAGGAAGACTGGAGCCCAAGAAGACTCTCAGGGTCCCCGCAACGTTCGGAAGATGTCTGGAAGGGGAGCTCAACAATAAAGGGACTCTTGTAGGGGAACCCATGGAGCCCCAAACAGGGAACCCCAAGAACATAGTAGGAATAAAAGGGAATTTGCAGGCGTGCCCAAGAAATAAAGGGAATGTAAGGACCCTTGTAGGTATGTTCTACAATGTTCCTGGGGTCCTCTAACAAAAGCAACGAGGGGGGGGGGGGGGCCCGGTGGTCGGGTTTGGGGCTTTTAGGGGGTTACGCGTCTTGCCAGCCCTGACTGCAGGCTATGGACTTCCCCACTCCGCCGGCATCAGAGGGTTTTTGCTTAAATTGGGATGGAGTCATCCTCGGAGTCGAGACTATTTTTTGAACTCGACGAGTCGAGGCGACGTCGCGAAGTAGTAGCTTTTGTCGTAATGCAAGCTCACCCGGGCAAAGGTTAGCCTAGATTCGTTTGCCGAGATGTTCTTCTGATCTAGCCAGTGCTCTGCAGTGACTCTGCGATCTAGCCTTGCAAGCCAACTAGCAACTCGATGCGCGCGCAATCCTCCGAAGGGAATGTCGGCAGCTCTCACGCTTTGATGGTGGGACCCCCGAATTCTCGGTGGCACCGTCTGGGGGGATCTTTGGGTGCTTTTTTTGCACGGCAGCGCGCCAAGCACAAAAGGGTTCTAAACGGGCTCAATTGCTGTAGCGACTGCCAATACATTCGAGGCTTGTGCCCGGCCGATTCCAGTCAGCGGCACCAGTGGGCCCTGCACTCAGCTCTCAGTGCGCGGTCTCGTGGTCTTGCGGTCTCGCGGCTGCCACCGACTAGCAGGCCAGCATGCTTGGCTTCAGAGTTCGCTCCCCCCCCGCACTCCCGCCCCCCCCAGCTGCCCTCCCCGCCCTCTGCCCTCTGCCCTCCGACACTTCCAGACCGCAACACGTCTCAGAAATCCCTAAGAAGCCCTGGTGTGCACAAGGCGGCATAAGGGCGGGTCGAAGAACGCGGAAGGGATGCGATCTGCCTGCTTTCTATTGGAGTGTTTACGAAAATGAGGGACCCCTAATATAGACCCACAAATCGTAGGATTCCCTTTTACTCAGGACCCCGATAAGGTACCCCTAATATCGTAAACTCCATTTCCTTTGATGTGTACATGTACCGTCCATGTACCTATCTGGAAGGCCGGCGGGCGTAATGTAATCCCCAAGACAGCTCAACATAGGAGTGCTCGCAAGGGTGGACAGAAGGATGGATAACCCTAAGTCCTAAGCCCTAAGCCACAAACCTCACGCACCCTCCCACTGCAAAAGCGGCGCGACTGCGAGCGAGCGTTGCCGCACGTCGGCATGTGTGCGCTTGTCACGACTTCCCATTCTGGCGGTCAGTCAAGGGTGGTTCTTTAGCTCCTCCTTGAGACCCCGCACACTCCCGTATAAATCGGCACCTGGGTGGGAGCAAGCTGCATGCGAATGCACTGCCATACACATCACATAGGCATGTGGCTGCAGTCTAGGATCAAAGGTCTTGAGGCCCAAGAGCATCCCACATGCCGGCTCGCAGAACTTTGCTTCGAAGCCTTTTCGGGTGCAAAGGGTTTTGAGGCCTTAGCTCACTTTGGTGCCCCAAGGCCCAAGGTCACGATACTCTGCTGCCCAAGCCAGGTCTCACGAACGAAGGCACTCTTTTCAAGAGTGACTGTCTCCATCATGAGCCAAACCCTATGGTCTACGGCCCATGATACTCAAGCCCTCCGCACCGCGAGCTGCCAGATCTTTCATCCGTGGCAACACGGCACACACCGCCAGGGATGTGCGGGGGCCTCAATAGTCGCGCAGGGTTTGGAGAGATCTTCCCGATGCTTTCCGACCCGAAAGCTGTGCACCGTGCTGTGCACCGTGCTGCCCGCAGTTCCCCATAAAAAGTCCGTCTCTGGAGTTCTGTTGAAGAGTCACAGGGTGCAGATGCTGCCTATGCCAGCAGTTCATTGCCGAGGCGCCCCTGCGTTCAACTGCTGGTCTGAATAGCATTGCCCTTTCCTGCAGCGCAGCGGACCGGTACTCGATTGGTGTATCTTCTAAACAAATGAGGCCTTGTCATGCACTCTGTTACAAGCAACGTCAGGGCGCTGCAATACAGATGATCGCATGCCTGAGGTCCCGGAGGCGCCCCTCCTGTGCTCCTCACAACGGAACCATCATGAAGCAACCCACAAGAGACAGCCTCGGGGGACAGTAGTTGGCTCAACTACAGTACAACCCCCCGCTCTTAATAAATGTAGGAGTGGTGAGGGGTGCATAATTGCAGGACATGTTTTCCTACAATTGCCAGTCTCCGTGTCCAGCGGAAACAAGCCGGGGTATGCGTGGCTTGCCCTGCACGAGGTAGCTGCAAAACGTGGACCCAGACGTGGGATCCTGCAATTGACACAGTCGTATCGTTGGGGGAGTGAAAACTGTAATCTACATCTTCTGCTCCCCCCCATCCTAAGCACGATAGTACACGTGCCTGTGGAGCGAGCCCGATGAGACCCTCTGGCATGCCCCGTGTGCCGTCGAGCATTCGGCGTGTCGGAGCCAGTGATGTTGGCACGCTGACGGCTTGAGGCGGCTCACGTGCACTACCTGAGCGTGTGCCGCGGTCGGTGCTCGGCCGGCCTGTCGCCGCTGGGCTTGCGGTGACTTGATGAATGAAGTTCGCTGAGGACCTGAGCCGACCTTTTTTGGCCGGTATGCCACGGCGTTGTGTAGTCAACTTAAGTGCAAAAAGATGCGATCTGGCTCGCTGCCGCGCAAGGAGCAGTGTTTTCCTCAAGCCAAGGAGCCTGCAGGCAGGCTGCTTGGTCAGCACCCCGGCTGCCTCACAAAGGTCCCGCGTCGCATATCAGGGCAAATAGATGGGGACACCAAAGTAACAGAACAGCAACATGACCTTCGACTAGGTTCGCCAAAGGCCATCGCCCCAGCAATTCTTCGTACAATATTCCTGTTTGCGGGGCTTGCAAGATGGCCTTCGTCAAATGTCCGGGTTCACGTGGCTTGGGTATTAAGCTTCGTCGAAGGCTGGGCCTTCGTCGAAACTTCGTCTAACCTTCGTGTTCGGGTTGCCTTTGTGGCCCTCTGTGGAAGGTGTAAGCCATCGTCGAACGTTCGTGTGCCGTTTGCCTTCGTCGAAGGTTCGTGTGGCGCGGTGCCCTTCTTCAAGGCAGTTTGCCTTCGTCCAAGCTTGTTTGGTACCCTATGCGTTCGTCCAACTTCGTTGGGGCACGCGGCGACTTGCAAAGGTTCGCGCGAGCTCGCATGCGGTTCTGCTATTCGGCTGTCCCCATGTGTTTGCCCTTTAGCATGTGCAGTGCTTCGCACGTACGCAGCCCTTCGCCGCCACACTTGGCAACTTGCGCGCGCCTGACAGCGTAATGATGGCAGGGCTTCGTAAGCCAGCAGCTGTCGTTTGCGGGCGCCCTTCTCTGCGCCACCTGACGGGGCGCGTACGTGTGTTCAGGCGCCTACTCCAGACGCCTCGATCGGTCGGCCGTTTGTGGAAGCAGAGATAAGCAGAGTGTTTTCACCAAGTCTTCTTCGGGCATGACGTGAGAGGAATGTCATACCCCATCGCCAATTCCACCTCACCAGACGACAGCTCCTGATGTCCGCACACGGGGGTCTGAATGAAGGGGGACAGCGACACCACACAGCACCGAAGTGCGAACACTCTCTGGGACCTGTGGGGGTAATTTCGGCCGGGATATAAATGTCAAGTGAGGATCCAATCCGGAAAGACCGCGCCACCTGTGTTGGCCATTGCATGCCTTGGTTGTCTGTGTGCCCACTTCTTGAGCCAGGGCTAGATGTAGCCGCCCGGCCCGGAGCTGTGTTCCACCAGCTGGTAGACGATGGGCGGATTGCGCAAGCGGTCGCGCACCGAAGCGAAGCTTCCGGAAGCTTTTGCCCAAGCTACGAGCCGATGCGGCATCCTCGGCCCCGGTGCCGCAACCGCCCCAACGACACGTGCCCGGTGTCCCCTGCGTTCGCGGAAGTTTGGAGATGCCTTGGAGCCCTCGCCTTGCGAAGGGCGCTGCGGGCCGCACGGGTGCTGCCGCAGGAGCCGCAGGCTGCACAGGCTGGAGCGCAGCTCAGGCGCTGGGTGGCCGGAGGAAAAAAGCAGCACGGGCCACAGAGACCGCAGCACACATAGCTCACACGGAGACGCCGCTGGTGCACTGTTTCGTCCTTGGCGGCGCTCGCCTGGATGCATCAGCGCTTAAACAGCACTTTCCATGCTCCCGCTTCCGCCCTTCTGGCCATGCTGCTCATCCCGCCTCCTCTTCTTCTCTGAAGTGTTCAGCAAGAAATCGCTATCGGACCTCCTAGCGCGTCCTAGCCGTCCGCGGCAGCTGTGAGTCTGTAGCGCCTGTGCCGATTGAGCGAAGGCTTGCCTTACCCGACAGATCGGCGGAGAGTCGATGGTAAACATTGCTCAAGTTCCGCATTGGTTGAAATAGATTGCACGAGCACTGCTTTTTTCCATGATGTGTCATACCCGTCTTTGTGTTGGCGAGAGTGATTTTGGCCCCTCACCGGGAAAGCCCCTTGCGGATTCCGGGGAAGGCCCCTTATAGCCCCTTACCGGGGACCCCTTACGGAGAAGGCCCCGTACGGGGAAGGCCCCGTACGGGGAAGGCCCCTTACGGGAAGGCCCCTTACAGGAAAGGCGCCTTGCGGTAAAGGCGCCTTACGGGGAAGGGGCCCCCTTACGGAGAAGGGGAAATGGGGCGTACCCCAGGAGCGGCCCAAAAGTGCTCGATTCCAGTCAAATGTAACAATGTAGCAGAGAAGTCATATGACCGAAATGACCATTTTCAAGTTTCGGGCATACAGCGAGGCCCCTTGCCAGGGAGATTCCCCGTAAGGGGCCTTTCCCGTAAGGGGGCCTTCGCTGTAAGGCGTAGGGAAAGCCCCTTTACGGGGAAAGCCCCTTACGGGGAAGGCCCCTCTACAAGGAGAAGGCAAGGCCACAGGGAAGGCCCCTCAGAGGAAAGGCCCCTTGGCAGGGTAAGGCGGATTACGGGAGGGCAAGCGACCGTTCCACGCGAATATACACATGTTTGTGAAAGTTTTGTAAATATGCGATGTGCGGCTCTCCTCGTCGTAGCGACCAGGGAAGACATGCTTGTCAACACCGCATGTCGACCGTTTGGCCCCAGTCGAGAGTTCATGGGGTTGTACTGTCGAGGGCGACCTTGGGTAAGAGCCCAAAGCCTCTTTTGTAGGTTACCTAGGAATCGCAAAAAGCCCTAATTGTCGGACATGCGCCGCATGCTGAAAGCTGCTGCCCGTGCCATGTCTGGCCATTGCGGAGGACTGGTCATGACTCATGGCTGTCATATCTGTTGCATCTGATACCCATTGATACCCAAAAAGCTTCATGGTGCCAGAGCAATGTTCAACCCATCTTGAAGCCTGAAGTCAAGTTGCTCAATAGCACCCAGAGTTGAAACAATAGAGGTTTTCAGATTCCGTTCTTTTGGAGGTTACATATCGGGATGATTCACTTGTGGAGACGACCCTAAACCCTAAACACAAGCTGGAAATGCTGTCTTGGAACAACGAGTACGGCTCAAGGACCCCGGCCTCCAACCTCGCGCCATTTGGCTGTCGAGGAGTGAAAGCCTCTCGGCGTTCTTAATCTTAAACCCCAAGCCGTGTTTCCGAGAAAGGGTTGACGAACCAGACATAACCACATGCCAGCTATGCATACCTTGGGGACCAACTGAACCCTTACTACTGTCATCCGTATTAAGGTATATGAACCATAAACCCTTTTTCGGGTTCATTTGGTCCCCAAAATAATATGTAGCAGCCAGGTTCTTCTGGAGCCTCCTTGAATTTTTCATTCCACGATGACAAAGAGTAAAAGTTTGGTTGATCTTAAGTCGCAGCACTGATAGATGCGTTGGGCTGCCACTGGAATATGTGCGTCATGCAACCGACCTGTGGATGTAGGCATCCGGAACTGCCCTTCCTGCCACGTGGTTTAGGGTTTAGGGTTTAGGGTTTAGGGTTTAGGGGCCACGTGGTGCTGTAGTTTGTAACATGATATGTTTGGCCATGCTTGCTTGCTGCGTTGCGTGGCAGGAGCCCGCTCACTTTGACGTGATGCCACACGGCTTTTCGCTTGGCTTGGTGCAGAGCATCCTCACAGTCAGGTGGGCTTGTTTTGAAGTGGCGGCTGACATCCTGTGGAATGTGTAGAACCAACAGAGCCAGAGAGCCCCGCGGCCAGATTCAGCTAGCGAGCTATGTTGGCTGTTGGCCAGTTCAGGCTTAGACCTTGCACCGTGGGTCCAAAATGCCCAGCTGCATTGCCGCCCAGCTGCATCGCCGCCCAGCTGCGTTGCTGCCCCAGTGTCAGCGTTTGCAGAGAACCGCCGGCTTCTACCCCGCATTCCTCGCATCAACGTGCGTACTGTAGCCACTGTAGCAGGAGCTACTCTCTAGCACTCTGATAGAGCTCGCGCCCAAAGTACGTAAAAGCACGATCTGCCGGGTGTGCGAGCCGCGACGGGGTCAGGGTTTGCAGAGAACTGTGGGCCGGCTGCTACCCTGCATTCCTCGGATCAACATGCATGCTGTAGCAGAACTGTGGTGGCACGTCGCACCGGGAGTGACAGCACATCTGGCTAACCTCACAACTCACGACAGCTTCCTTACTAAGAGCTCCCTAGGAGCTCGAGCTCGAATGCTCGCCCCAGGGGGGCAAACCACGCAAGGCACCCAAGGCACGTAAAAGCACGATCCTCCCATGCTTCTGTGTAGGCCTAAGCCTCCTTGCAGGGTGTGCGAGCCGCCCCAGGACGGAAGAGCTCTCGAAGAGATCGAGCTCTCAGAGCTCGCGCTAGAGGCAAAGCCCGCAAGTCACCCAAAGTATCCCCCCACTTTTTCAAGTGGAGAGAGGCAGAGTTGCGGGTCCTGATGTGCCAATATCCGTCGCCATTCTTGGGTTTGTTTGGTTGGCTCCCTCGACGCATGAAAGTCCCCATTTTCCCTTCTTTTGCCTGCGTGTCCTGACTCTTCTAAGTGCAGTTATGATTGGGGTTAGAAGTAAGAAGTACCCTTAAAAACCTCCAAGTGGTTGTGAGATGCCAGAGCTGCGGAGTCTCACAGTGATGACGACTCCCAGGGACGTCAGGCACTGGCAGCTCCATTTTCCAGCCCCTCTAGTCCACGCTGTGGGCACACCCCCTTGCAGGGTGTGGGAGCGCGTAGGGAGCTTGGAATGGGCTGGAATGGGCTGAAGTCCCGAGCAGCTCCCAGGCTGCACAGCGCAAGATGCGGCAGGATGCAGGAGCACGAAGCAGGCGGTGGCCAGCAGGAAGAGGATGCACAGCCGCCTGGCATACCCTGGTCCCATGTGCTCCTGCTTGTGTGATTGCCGTATCTGTGTGGTGGGCCGCATTGTCTTCAGCGCCGCTTGTCTCCGAGCGGGAACGCGGCGTCCCGTTCTTGCCGTCCACGGGGTTGTAGTTTACGAGACGTGGTGCCCATGCTTTTAAGGCCCCTCGCAAAGTCCGAGTCCGAGTCTCGAGTGCTTTTCCTATGCTTTTCCTGCTCTGCGAGCCATGGGCCTTGAAGACCAGTGGAGCCTCCGGGATTTGGGTGCACTGCTGTGCCGCATCAAGTCCATTGGCATGCGAACATCTTCATTCGGGCGATGCCGTGCTACTCAGCATTCCTTTTTTCACCTCGGTTTGAAGGGTAAATCGATAAGATGCACGAGCTCACTTGCTTCGGTGCTCTTTTGTGCTCAATGAGAGGCCCCGTTCCCAGGTCCCTCTCACTTCTTAAGCGCCCCAAAACCAAAACCCCTCCCTGACCCTCACCTGCGCCGAATTCGTTTTTCAACTCAGCGAGTCGAGGTGGGGTCGCGAATGAGCTTTAAAAGTAATGCAATCTCACCCGAGCAAAGGTTAGCCTAGATTCGTTCGCCGAAAAAATGCTGATTTAGCCTGCGCTCTGCAATGAGTCAGCAGCATGGCCTTGCAAGCGGGCCAGCAACAGGATGTGCTCAGCATCCTCCTCGCGCTTTGATGGGGGGATTTCATGAGGCGCCTCACTCCTGTGCAATCCTCATCTCGCCATGACCACCTCGACGAAGCATGTGGCTAAACTGCACTGCTCCCTGTTCAAGAGCTGCCTGAAAACATTGCCCTGATCTCAACATGTGAAACCTAGATGTTCAGAGCACTCGGTTCGCGAATCCTCACTGGCACAGTCTGGGGGCATCTCTGGGTTGTGTTGTTGCAAAGAAGCACGCCGGGCACGAAAGGGCCCAACGCGGGCTCAATTGCTGTAGTGACTGCCAATACCTGCAAGGCTTGTGCCCGGCCAATTTCAGGATCAGTCAAGGGCATCAGTGGGCTTTGCACTCAGCTGTCAGTGTGCGTTCTCGCGGCTGCCACTGACCATCACACTGCCGCCTGGTGTGCACAAGTCGGTATGATGGCGGGTCTAAGAACGCGGAAGGGCTGCGATCTGCACACCTTCTATGTCCTTTTGATGTGTACGTGTACCTATCTTGAAGGTCGGTGAGCGTGATGTAATCCCCAAGACAGCTCAGAATACGAGTGCCGGCAAGGGTGGACAGAAGGCTATATAACCCTAAGCCCCAAACCCTAAACCTTAAACCCCACCTGGGCTCGACAAGGCCTCACCGCACGCTCGCTGCACGGCGGCATGTGTGCGGCTTGTCACGACTGGTTTAGGGTTTAGGGTTTAGAGTTTATAGGGTTTAGGGTTTAGGGTTTAGGGTTTAGGGTTTCGCAAACATGGCGGAACAGTCAGTTCGAGAACAGTTGTCAGTCAGCAAGTTCGTTCTGTGTCTGGCCTTGTTCGGAGAACAGGTGCGACACATCCAGGCGAGGATTCACACAAGCCTGCTGCAAAAGGGTTTAGGGTTTAGGGTTACACCCATTCCGGTGGTCAATCAAAGGGTGGTTCTTAGCTCTCCCTTGAGACACCGGCGCACTCCGGCGTAAGTCGGCACCAGGGTGGGAGCAGGCAGGCGAAAGGAATGCCATACAGTGCCTGCAGTCGCTGCCTATGCCAGCAGTTCATTGCCGAGGCACCCCCGCCTTCAACTGCTGGTCGGTGGTGTATCTACTATACACATGAGGCCTTGTGGCCTTGTCATCCACCGATTATGTTAAGGCAACGTCAGGCACTGCAAAGAAGATGATCGCTTTGAGGAGGTCAGCTTGACTTTTACCGACAAAGTCAGTGCAGTGAGCTTTGAGAGACAAAAAAAAGGGCGTTCCCAAGCTGAAAAGGTTTTTCCCCCTGCGCCGTTCATTCCATACGCTCTCTGGTGCCCC